AGACTTCAGCTTTTTCAGTAACAAAATCAAGGCCATGTAACCCAAGTAATCTTTCTAAAATGTAAATCATATCATGTCCCTCCCTTACTTAAATGGTCAAGGATGCTGCAATTGTCTCAGATCAAACTTTTTAAGCAGTGTTATGCTGTTTTCAAATTAAATCAAATGCATACCTTCAAAATATAAAGCAGGTAAGTAAAGGTATAATTACTTTGCAGCATGGGGTGAGTGGAAGGCCCAAATTCTTGCCTCTTCCTACGCAGCTTAAATAGTCAAAGATTAAGAACTGATATTTTAAAAAGTGACCCAAAATTTTTAGGAACCGCCATATAGGTAAAATGATACAAGGGAAGAGAAGGACATTAAAATGTGTGTATGACTGTAGAGGACCGTCATTTGTTTGTTTCGGTCTAGCAAATATGACTCAGCTCTGTACAGAAAACCTACAGAAGCGAAGTGGTGAGTAGGAGCCAGACCTTCAAACCGATTTTTCCCGTGGGAATCAGGCCTAGAAAATGCATACAGACTGTTATGGCTTGCTCTTGCTAAAACTCCATCACCCTGGTCTAAAACAACAAATGTATATTATCTATCTTCAAAGTAATTTCCAAAGCCTATGTGACTTTTCCCAAGGACAGAGCTAATCAGCTTGATGCCTTTCCCTTCTGCATATGTTATTTTTGTTTCCTTGATTGTACCTAAAATATAGACAATAATATTCTATGTAATAGATAATAAATCCTTCTTTGATGTAAAACCCAAGAAAAACAGTAAAAGCTTGTCTAGGCATGGGTTGGCTCACTCTCCTCTTGAGAGAGTGGCCGAGGCATTCTTAGGCACTCTCCCCTTGAGAGAGTAGCCATGCCATCCCCCTTTTCTCCACTGGATTGCTGTCTCCTGTGCATTTATTTTCTCTTTCAGTCACAACAGGTAGGCTCTGCTGGCTGGGGTCCGCCACATACGACCTACTATCTATCAGCTATTATTTGCATTATTACACAATCACTCTGTAAGTCTCTTATTGTTAGTCTCATTTTACAGATTAAAGGAAAGATGAGTCTCAAAAACAATGAACATCCCCATGGCTCAAATGTCTGTGCCCCTTTTCCAGACCCATTTTCTTCCAACCTCTATGCTGTGTAAAGAAATGAAGCTGACCCAATGGGAAATGGTGGGGATGGGGAGGGAGGGTGGGGAGCACTCCACACAGAGCAACTTGTTCTGTAGGAGGGTGTGGCTCATGGGAAAGGTGATGTTGGAACATCCCCAGCAAAAAGACTCCAAGGACTATAATTTAAAAACCATTAAGCTAGAAACTAAAGTACAGAACCCAGCAAGTAAAACTCTTATGTTCTGGGCCCTCCCATCCTTTCTGTCCAGTTAGTATACCACTTCTTGCTCTTCTCCAATATCAAGGCCACTTGGTTTCCAGAAAAGATCAAGCCCTTTCACATCTCTATGCCCATTCATGCATTCTTCCTTCTACCTAGAACAACAGTTGCCCCTCATCCCCTGACTACTTTCCACTGTTTTTGAGCCTCAGTCCTTTTTATCTGTAAAATGGGATCAACAATAAGAAAGAAACTCATAGACCTATTATACTGTGACAATGCAAATAACAAGTCTGATGAATGGAAGATTGGGAATAAACTTTAACTCTTTTCCTTTCCCTCATATCATCCCACTTGTACCATTAAGGGCCAAAAAAAAGTATCTTAATCATTGAACTCTCAAAACCCTGCACAAAATAGGTACTCAGCAAACAAATTAATATCTTTGAAGTAGTGTTTGCCAAGTTACTACCAGAAGGGAGTTTTTGTTGAGATAAATATTTTTTCTTTATTGAACCAGTAGTTCATTGATAGTGTTGAATCAACACAATAGAACAATGTTCTCCAACCTTTTAAAAATATTTATAATATTGTAGTTGGGGTCATCGCAGGAAAGGAGCATACTTGTGCCCATCCTTGCTTATCTGGACTTCAGTATCTCATGCTCTCAGCTAGGAGAGGTGGGTTAGTCAAGAGTCACATACATACACAATACTCTGCTCTGGCACAACAAGGTCATAAGTTAAGTAAGTAAGTTTCCTCTAATAACTAGGATCAACTAAATAGATTAGATGGAATTGGCTCCTCAGGGAGTGACTTACCTTCAGATTTTTCACATCCTCATAGACACACCAGCCATCATCTCTCCCTTCTTATCAAGTTTACCACCACTCCCACTCCCAGATAAAATATGCTCAGGAAAAATAAGAAACCAGGAAAGACAGCCCTTGGGCTGGCCATTAGTTTTCTGGAGTTCTGATGCTCATAAATGCAAATACAGACTTAAAGATGTACTGAGATCATCTGGTCCAGTCTCCTCTGAACCCAGAAGGAATGTCAGAGTCAGGAACAGAGCCCTGACTTCCACCACAAAGCCCTTGTCACTGGCTGGTAGTATCTATAATTCCATTCTGGGAGCAGCCTCACACACTTGCCCCAAGTGCCCACCTCTGACCTGGCTTCCCAAGGTAATCTCTCTGAGGAGTAGAAAGAGGGAGACCTTTCCCTCACCCACAAATCACTCATTAATTCATTGAACAAATGTTTTTTAAGCACATACAAGAATGTTAAGCACCATGTAGGTGCTGGGTATAAAGAGTGAGCCAGCTAATATTGAGATTTCATTCTATCTAAGATGAGAGATATTGAAAAATAAATACAAGCAGGTTGTTATCAGAAATACAGGATACCATGGGGGCATTTTCTAGAAGAAACTGATATAATTGAGGTTGAAGATACAAGGATCCAGAGCAAAGGAGTACAGCAGCATTAAGCAACAAAAGGAGTTTCTTCCTCCTCTAACACAAGAAGTCACAAAGGAGGTTTGAAGGCATAGGTGGCCTACGCCTGACAACTTGGTAGGGGGAAGCAGAAGTACTTCACATTTAATAACTACTGTTTGCCCCTTGAAGTAGAGGCAATAGCATCTACCTACAGGCTGCCCTGGAGGTTTGGAAGTTTCGAGAGAGGAGGAAAGACACATGTGTGTAGTGATACAGAGAAATGTATAGGATTGCCAAGCAGTGTTTTGGGCCTAGACCAGGTGGATGATCATGGTCTTATGATGATGCCAGCTTGCTAAAGTGTCTTTTAAAAAAAAAGTTATTTCTGTAGCAGCTAGGCACAGCATGGAGGATCCAGCCAAGGCTGAAGTTTGTCTGTCAAGCACATTGATGAGTCAAAGGGTGAAAAGCTTATTATATTGTCAAAAGAATGGTTGAGCCCTGGTTGGTGTGGCTCAGTGGACTGAGTGCCCGCCTGAGAACCAGAAGGTTGACTGTTTGATTCCCAGTAAGGGCACATGCCTGGGTTGTGGGCCAGGTCCCCGATGAGGGGCATGAGAGGTAACCACACATTGATGTTTCCTTCCCTCTCTCCCTCCCTCCCTTCCCCTCTTTCTAAAAATAAATAAATAACATCTTTAGGAAAAAAATGGTTGAAATGACAGACTTAGGAAAGCATACTGGGTGGGGAATGGGCTGGAGGAAGAAGGGAGCTGGTGAGACAGTGGACTTCAGTGGATATAAGCAAGCAGGTTGAAAGAAGGCACTGATCCGACACAGGGTGCCTGGCTTTGTGGTGTCAGAGACTTAGGATCTGGCTTCTAGTTCAGATTCTGCACAACAACTTGGAGCATCTCCTGTGTCCTCTCAGGCTCCCAGTGTTCTCACCTATGTGTGGAGCATAATGAGTGAACCTAGACCCTTTCCAGCTGGGCCTTACTGTGAGGCTGCATTGTTGGTCAGTACTTTAGACATGTTAGAATCCAAGTCAGACTCACTGAGCCCTCAGTAGTGGCCCATCAGTGCTTAGATTATTGGTTCTGAACCTGTTGATAGAACCTACAGAAACTCTTAGCTATGTCCTGGGTTCCTCCAACATTTGTGGCTTTACAATTTCATCTCACAAGCATGCTTTGGATTCCTCCAGAAACCCAAAATTCAATCCCTATGCTGTGCCATTGGAAACTCCCTCATAAACCAGGATCTTCTTATCTTTATGGAAATCCTCCCAGGCTTTATGGGGTTGAGGGAATGCTCTGAGAAGATACTTGTGTGGAAGAACCAGTAGTGACTGAGTGTGACAAAGTGACAAAATAACAGAGGCACTGGAATGCCGGAAGTCGTCGTCATAACCACCTGGTTGGGAACAGCTTTCACATCATCGTGGCTCATTCCCTCGAGGTGGGTGCGGGAAACGTATAAAAGTCCTCAGATCATATTGTCTCCTCATTTGACGTATCCAGTGCTTACCTGAGGTTAGGAGAACAAGGTGAGTGTCCTTACTGATTTGATGGCAGTTTGCGGGTGGCCGGGACTGCCACATATCAGCTTAATGGGACAAGCCACTCCAGCTGGGGAGAATGGGGTCACTGGTCACTGCAGGGAGATCAGGCTCCTGGAAATCACTGTGCTGGCTCAGAGGTAGCAATCCCAAGAGAGGCTGAATTTCAGCCAAAGACGGGCTGGGGCTGGGGAAGCTAGTTTGTAGGACAAGAGACAGCCACACCGGGCTGAAGAGTGGACTAAACGCAGAGCCCATGAAGTAAGAAAAAAAGTGGGGAGTGGGAGAGATGGTGAGGACAGTGGTGTAAACATGGACTCAGGATCGCCGCTTGGTTAGAATGCATAAATTAAGAGACATTATAAAAAACAGTTTAAGACTTTGTTAGCTACTTAGTGTCCTAAGTTGCTGCTTTTGAAGCCAGGAGTCTGGGAAAAATCAGGAGAGTTAGAAGATGTTACAAAATTCTAACTGACCACCTGCCTGATTTCTCCCCTGCCAGGAAAGCAGGCCTATTCTGCTGAAAGACAGGGGCCCTGGAGCCACAGAATCAATTATAAAACTTCAGACTCTGTAGAAAGATACGGATACAAATTACTACATTTGCATTTACTGGACTTTCAAAATATCTGTATTGCTTTTTAGAGCAGCTGAACTTTCTCCAAGATGTCCTGCCAACAAAAACAGCAGAAGTGTCAGCTCCCCGCCAAGTGCCCACCCAAGTGCCCTCCTCAGGCCCCTCAGGCCCCTGCTCCCTGCCCAGCACCCAGCCCAGCTCCCTGCCCCCCTCCTCCTCCCTCCTGCTGCATCCCCAGGTGCTGTATTTCTGGCTTTGGAGACTGCTGCTCTCTGCTGTCTCACCGGTTTCCAGGAGTCTGCCTGGGCCAGCCCCAGCCTTCCACCTGCTGTGAGAGGGAATCTTCTGGATGTTGCCATTGCTGCCATGGCCTTGGAGGCTGCAGCTGATCTGCAACTTTTGAGGAGCCAAAGATCCACAGACAAGGGCCAGCATCGAACGGACATCTTCACTCACTCTCAGCCTTGATCTCTGCTCTGCTCTCCAACTACGCTGCCTAGATGTGCAGGTGATGGATCCTCTTTCTACTGGGAACCTCAGACCTCCTGACCTTGGCTCTGTTCCCAGATCAGGGAGACCTGAATGCTACAAAAAAATGGTGCTCCCTAAAGCCTCATCAGTGTGCAAAAATAAAGCTTATCTTTCCTGGCTCCCTGAACTTCTCGGTGTTTGTTGATCCCCCATCCTCGGCTCTGAGGAGCACCCGTTAACCTGGAATCTCCAAGAAGGCCCCACAGTGAGCCAGCCAGGTGGGACATTCCCACAAAGGTAGATGCCAGGTCTGAGCTGTCTGAGAGGAAGTGAAAGGGAAAGCTCCAGAGGGGTGTCCCAGGTGGATGTTCCAGTGCCACTGCTTCTGGTGCCACCACCACTGAGGTTTCTTGCTGCTCATGCAGGACATGCCACTTCCCAGCCCCAGAGCACAGCCTTCAGACCCTTCTGATTTGGGGGAATCTTATGCTCAAGAAGGAAAGGGCACAGACATGTTGTAGTTTTCAGATCTCGGTTCATGACAAATACTTTCCTTGAGAATGTCCACCTGACTGAGTCCCTTCTCTCCACACAGGAGCCAGAATCTATCCCATGGCCCAGTGAGCACAGCACCCAGGAGGCACTTGTCACTATCTGCCCTTTGTGGTTTCTTTTCCTCTTCTCTTCAGTAGGACAAATGGCATGGGTTTGAGGGCAAGTTCTCAGAGCACTACCCTTTCCAAGCCATCAGTGGGCCGTAGGCAACAGCACTGCGCCTGCCCCTCCGTGACTATCATTCTAATCACAGTATCAACACACACTGGTGCCTATCGGACCGGTGGGAGACAAAGGGGTGGAATTAGGGTTGGTCACCCAGGAACTGCCTGGAATCCACAGCTGCCTAAACGTCTGGGCTCATGTGGTGGAGAGTGTCTCTCACACTGAGCGTGCCATAGCAGAAGAGAGATTGAGGGCTGCTGCTCCAGGACACCCTCTTGGACCAAAATAAATCATTATAAGCCATGGTTGGCCAAGGTCATCCAGGTCACAAAGAGCCTTGTGACCTGGCTCTTTGGGGGGTGAGAATGAAGGTAGACATGACCACCATTCTTTACATCCTAATCAATACTCAGTCCAAGAGAGAGAACTTCTGGATCCATGGTTTTCAACCTCTGACAAAAGGAACAGTGGAGTCCAGAGAGGTATTTCAGGGACTCTTGAGATGCCTTTGAGAGGGAAACTCTGTATGTATGTGTTCATTTATTTTAAATTCTGTTACAATAGTCAGCATGCTTGCTCAAAAGTGTAAAGTAACTAGTTATAATTGAAAACACCTTGGACATCATGAGACTCTCTAGCAGACAGATGGCAGGGTAAATTTTCAAGGCCTTAGTCATATTTACTGCTTTATGGTAAACTCTTTTTACCACATTCTAGCTTTATTTTTTTAGATAATGTCTTTCACCTCAAACTTACTTCTTACCACTGGACAGTGAGTGATCTGACTGGTGAAATGGCAGGAGTCTGACCTTCACTCATGTGTGAAGTGCTCACTCTCAGGAGCTGGGGGAGCGTCCTCCACAGACCAGCTCCTGGCCCAATCCAGATTTCAACGTTGGAATAAATATTATGTTTTCCATTGTGGCCATGATACAAGTTACATTCCTCAATGCTCTGCTTTATCAACCCTCTGTCTCACACCAATGTCTCTTGCTCTTAATTGATTCAGAGTTTGGAGAAGAAAAAGATCTGATAAATTAGCCCTCTCAAAAATCCCAGTGTCAAGAAGAGTGTAGCTTTGTACTCAGTCCACCCCGTCTTCCAGGGGTGTCCAACTTATGGCCTGTGGGCCACACGCAGCCCAGGATGGCTGTGAACTCGGCCCAACACAAAATTGTAAATTTACTTAAATCCTTTTTATTTGCTCATCAGTTTTAATTAGTGTTTGTATATTTAATGTGTGACCCAAGACAACTCTTCTTCTTCCAGTGTGGTGCAGAGGCACCAAAATGATGGATATCCCTGTATATGCTGTATTTTGTTATATACAATTTTAGTCACATAAAACTGTGCATTAAATGTGGTACCAAGTAAATCCAGGTACATCAGTGATTCATGGTAGTTATTTTAATAGCTGTTAAACAAGTCCTATGCCATATATAATAATGTGGTGACACTAGTCTTAGCACTTAGTATAAGTTTTCGTATCTGACTTTATATTTATAAATGCTTATTTTTTGTAAAGGTAAATATTGTCTCTTTGAGGCAATATTGCCTCTTTGAGGCAAAATTGATCACTGAGTAAATAGAGAAAATTTTTAAAAAGATAGTTACTGCTGTATAGAACAGAATAGTCAGGCTTAAAATAAGACAATTATGGAGACAACTGTAATTGAAAAACAATTTAAAAATAAAAATTAAAAAAAATTTTGCTGTGGCAGTACTAGGTGATTTTCAACTATCAATAATCACATTGATTACAGTACACAAAATTAATGTCATGTGCCCAAAATTTGACTCAAATTTACCCCAAAATAGTACACCACAATTATATTTTTATCACCAGGAGTTACCTTTTATAGAGGTTCAAAATAGGTTAAATCCCTAACATGTTTATGTAGTGAAATTTCACAAGATAGCTAAGCCAGCTACTTCCTGACAATTAAAAATGTTATTTTCCCCGAAAGTATAATATACATTGACTTGAAATAGCTAAATGTTAATTTAAAAAATACAGAAAAATTTAAATCTGGCAATGAGAATGCATTTCTATTGTGTCTAGCTTGCTAAAAATCATGTGCAGTCGACCATGTAAGAAGGGTGTTAGATGACTGGCTGGTTTAGAGATGCAGTTAGGATCATTTGCTAATAAAGCAGTTTGCAAAGATCCCCAATATGACAGCAACCACGCTTTATGAATTATTCTAAATGTTGAGATACTTAAAATAAAGCTCCACAGGAGGAATATGGCTGTTGAGAACCTTTCTGTTTTGTTATTTTGCTACTTATGTGTTCAGGCAAGTAAATATAAAGATGACTGACACACACTCAAAAGAAGAAAACAACTTTAAACATTGAGATCAGATTTTCAACACATTATTAAATAAATAGGCAGAATGTGATTTTTATTTTGATATTGCAAAAGCAAAGGCAAGAAAAACTATAGGAACTGTGCTTCATATAGAGATTACTGCTGGCATGGGCATAAGTAATTGTGGGCTGCAAGAAAAACAAATGAATTTAGCAAGATGCTAACATATTGTAAAACAAGGTCTGATAAAACCATTCATAAAAACTGGCTTTAAATCACCACATTTCCAATGTTATTTATATGAAATGAGAGAAAATGGAATTTACTCTTTTATACCACAGAACATTGCCAATACAGAGGTGTAAATAATTCAAAGGTGATGAGAAATAACCATTTTTTGTTGATAAATATTATGGTTGATAAATATCTCATAAAACTGTCATAGTTTAATCAGTTGCCAAATTTTGCTGATCTGTGTGATAAACTAAAAAGACTTGACATATACAGTATTGCATTGTCACTATGTTAAACAGCAGATAAAATATGAACGAGGGAATGAAAATGATTCAATGTAGAAAAACAAATTCAACTTTTTTAAAACACTTAATTATTATTAATCCATTAAGTGAATATTTATGAAGCACCTACTATGTGCTAAGCATCAAAGAGTTGAAGATACAGCTATAAACAATAAGAAAATAGTTCCGGCTCTCATGCTGCTTCGAGTCCAGTGGGAGAAGCAGACAATAACCATACAAGAGTCAAATGCTGTATTACATGCTTCTGGGTGACATGAAGAAGGATAAAGACAGGTTGAGGGAATGGAGTTGCTGGGGTAGGAGGCCTGCTAGTTCACACAGCAGGTTCAGGGAAGGCCTGCCTGACGAAGTCTTCTTTAGAGGGAGTGGAGAACTGAGCTGCCCGGGTATCTATCTGGAGGAACAGCACTGTTGACAGAGGGATCCGTGGGCACAAAACTCAGGCAAGTATTACATCTGTTGTTTTATATCACATCACATTCATATATTTCTCTACTCAACAATGATTTTACATTGTCCATTTTATTCTTTTGACATTATATTATTCAATTAAGGACTGTAAACAGTTCTTAAATATTGCTACTGACAAATCCCGAACCCTCTACGACTCCATTTTCAATGCTGATATTAGTCTAGCAGAAAAATGTGCTAAAATTGAAAGCTGAGCTACTGAAACCAAAACAAAGAAAAAACCCCAAGTGTTCGTGCTGGCTGATGGGTGGGCTTCACTGGTGCCTCCTGGGTTTGTGTGTTATAGGCCTATGCAGCTCTGGGCAGAGACTCTGATTACAATTTGCAAAGAGATAATTACATTTTTGCCAATACTGTCCAACCAGAAGTGAATACTAAGACTGGTAATAAGACTGCAACTGTCCTCTGCAATCCATTAATTTCCACGAGTTTACCAAAATAGACCACTTTCTCTTAATTGATTTACTGATGTAAATTTGGCTCTAAGAAATAAACTTAAGTGAATACATAAACTCTTGTCTGTTTTATATATCATGGTCTCAATATAATATTTTATTTTTAAAATGGTTGCAGTTGTTAAAATATTTAAAACCTTTCACAGAATATTAAAAATTCCATACTATGGTATTTTATATAGCATAGGTATTCTATAAAAAATGCAAGTGACATTTTTCTTTACAATATTATAAATAATATAAGTATCATGATTAAATGGAATTTTTTCCATTTAATAGAAATACTATTTTTTATACTATACTAAAAATAGAAATACTATTTTTCTTCTTAGTATGCAATCTGAATTTAAGAAAATAACACACCCAACCAGAGAAAGTCAGGAAGTCACTGACAGATTATTTGAACTAGGAACACATGACCT